TCTATGTAACAAAACCCCATCAATGTCTTCGATTCCATGTTTTCAATATGGGAAGTAGGGATGGCAACTCAACCCGAATCCGACGGGTTTCGACCCGACCCGACTCGATTGGGTCGGATTTTTTTAAAAAAAAATTCGGGGTCGGGTTGGGTCGGGTCGAGTTTAGGGTGAAAAAAATCTGACCCGACCCGACCCGAAAAATATATATAATTTTATCCTATATATTTAGGGATAATTACAATAATGTCCCTCCATATATAATTTTTTTCAATTAAGTCACTGTTTTCATTGAATAATTTTTTTTTATTATTATTTCGGGTCGGGTCGGGTCGGGTTTCTAAGTCATATATTCGGGTCGGGTCAGATGAAACCTTAATTTCGTCGGGTCAGGTCGGGTCACGGGTGAAAAACTCTTTCTTCTCGGGTCGGGTCGGGTGACCCAAAAACCCGACCTGACCCGACCCATTGCCATCCCTAATGGGAAGATCGAGAAGATAACTGGGAAATGACAATTGATAAGGAACAATCATTTCATGACTTTTAATCCCTTCGGTCGTTTCAAGAATGTCTTTTTCTACGCGTTCTTCTTTAATGGTTCTAGCTGCCATTTATGTTTTATGCGGCTTTGGTTCAGCTACTCACTTCGGTCTCATTTTAACTGTAGTTAACAACTGCCCTTTTATGCTTCTAATATTCTGGCCACATGTCCCGACAAGTTACAATATAGGCGCCGGCAATTCTCACTTGACAAAAAAGTGTCAGATCAGCCGGTTAACGCGCTACTTCAATTTTCCGTCACGCCCGCTAATTGTTGTTAATATTGAGTGATTATTTTGTTACAAATTGATAATATTAATAATCAATTTGTAACTTTGAAAATTTCAGTAGAGAAAACGAAACTTACTCAAATATCAGTGATTATTCATGTAGTTTACCCTTATTATTAATGTCGTCGTCTTTTCGCTTTAGATGCCTTTTTAACTCATGGAACAGTAAAATGTAACGGAGATAAGGAAGAAGAGGCCGAGGTATATTATGATAAATTTAGAGGCTTGTATAAGGATTAAATTATTTATCTAAACTGAAAAGAATTAAATAGAAATATTAAGTTCAATTCTGACTTAAATTTTAATATTTAAAATTTAAATTCGAATCGATTAACTCAAATTAGAGGCAACTACTAACCAGGTTGCCTGATGTCTGGAAGAGAAAAGAAATGCATTTTGATAGTTCCAATATTCATTGGCCCATTGCAATGAAAACTGAATATATAAACAATACAAAGTCTCTCACATGGAGAGATTACATATGATGATTGGCGAGAGGGAAAATCAAATGAAAATATGTTGAGCTCTCACCGCCGTGGTGCTCTCAAGCCATTATCTTAGGAACAATAACAACATTGATTCAGATTAAAACTGATGTAATCACAAGGATACAGATATGTACATAAGATGTAACCCGGATTTTTTTACGACTGACTGAAACTCGAAGGCTTGTTTTTGTTCCCTTGTTAATGTCGCTGCGGTAGCTCCCAGTCGGGCCTTGTTGGATATTCGAAACCTTGAAGGGCAGGCATTCGTCTTAAATCTTCTTTGGAATAGACCGGTATGAACCAGAACTTCTCTAGTCCAAATACCTGAATCCAGAAAAGATTTCAATCATTTCAGGTAAAACTTTTCACTTGGAATGCTTGGCAGCAATGGTAAGATATGCATTCATTCAGCTTGTATCATTTCCAGAACAATGTTGTGCATGGTGAATAGATGACGAGTAAAGGGAAGTAACCTGTTGAAAATTCTTCTTCCAACCGAGGTCGTAACGCCACTTGGGACTGGTTTTCTTCTCATATGCCTGGAATATGACATGCGGAAAATGAGGACCTTTACTAATTACATCTGCGTCTGCAACACGGGGAAAAATGAATTATGCATGAGATTACCTCAATAGTGGTGGTATTGCCTCCAACCAATGCTATGTGCATAATTAGAAAGCCCAGAATACTCGGCGCAAACGCCAAGTTTAAAACTGAAAGATTTGGACTACAATTGGCTACAAACATCGACAAATGATCCGATGGAAGATGCTTAAACGCTTACAAACTTACCAAATGTGATAAAAGTAGCTACAAGTGATCCTGGTGTTTCATCTATCTCGCCATCGTTGAAAAACTCCATTAAAACCCGCAGTAACAATAAACTGACAAGAGTTGTCTCAAGAAATGTGTAAAACTGCATTAAATTTAACAAAAACAAAATCCAACTCAATTTCCCCCCTTCGGCATATTCCCACCAATCGTGTGCCAACCAGTGATATCTAGTTGGCATAAGAATCTAGTTAATATAGAAGACTCAATATACCAGCTGCCAGCAGAAAAAAGGTTGTAGCACAAAAGCAATGGTGAAAAGTGCAAAATGTTTAAATAGCTAGAAATGGAGCATATCAATCTCTAGAATACACGCTCTGAGTGCATGTATCATTCGAGAAAAAGTATGCAAAACCGTGGATTTCATTATTATAAAAGAATGCCATCTTTCTCAAAAATTCGCACAGTAAGTTTCACTTTGATGGGAAAAAAAATACAATCCAAGTTCTATAAACATATCAACAATTCTTTCTTCATAAATTCTCACATGATACCATTTACGAGTATGGTGGGCAATGGCATGGCATAATATTTTCAAACTGCAACAGAAAACTTCATCATAGCGAGGTTCATATGTGAATCGATGAATAATGGACAAAGTCCACAAACAATAGTCAGAATGAGCATTGTTGGTGTCAGCTTCCCACAAACTAATCGAGGCAATATAATGATATCATCTTCCTTGAGAAATAAAGTATTAATCTTATGAGCAACAAATTAGGAGATTCTTAAGAGGCTTCAAGCTTCATTCGTTCAGATAATTTACGGCAGAGAACAATCATATATTGTGCTTCAAGTGTTTTTGGTTTATGAGTTATAACTTAGTAGGCCACTAATTAAGAACGATCATATATGGAGCATCCTGAGTTCAGCAGCTCCATCTATTCACTTTTCCACTAATCCGTATCATGTACTGTTAATTTCGATGTTCATTTTGGCAGTCACAATAAATCCACTATTATGACCATTACCTACCTAAGTATCATAAATAGACGCTTAACGTTAACTTTACCAAAAATAGAAGGAAATACTTGTAGTTGAATGCCCCAACACAGTTAACGACCCAAACACAGTGATGGTCCATTTTTAATATACACCTCCCACCTGAAATCAACAAATAAACCAGGGTTTCTTTCACTAAAGATGGCATAACAACAAAGCTACAACCGAAGAATTTATCATAGATTACTCACAAACAGAGCAGTGGTGGGTGCGAGGAGGTTTAAATTGTTTGCACTTGTGACAGAAACGAATGTCTAAGCTCAAGAAATCACCGGGCATAACTAACTGCTTTGAGTCTAATTCTGCACTTCCGTAGCCAGAAGCTACCAGTGAATCAGCATCACCTTTCTCCTCATCTGTGAGTGGCCTCCAATTTGGCGGGACACCCCCGGGATCCGTTACAACAACAGAAGAATAACACCACATTACCATTACCAGCTGAAAAACCAGGTAAGCTTACTTTAAAAAAATGCAGCAATGGCATCTAACAAAACCAATCACAACATAAACAAGGAAATCGAACCATAAATATTAACCACAACTAATCCCGGGTTTCATCCTTTTCTTCCCTTCAAATCTAGCAAAACCCCATTAACCTAAAACCTATGAGCCCTAAAGTCGCACAAAAATTCAAATCAATAAAGCTAATCATATCATTTACCATCACCAAATAACCTGCATTTGATCACCTAAGAAAACTTGAGCTAAAAACGAATTCATCATAAAATCACCAACGAATCTAAAGCTTTTTCCTTTCTAAAAATCACTTAAATACATTCTCCCTTATAATCAAACATCCTATACTACATCACAAATCAAACAAAAGGAACAGCTAAAGCAAGAATCTTTGTTCTTCATAGGACCATTACAAACAAATCATGAAAAGGATAGCCAGAGGAGGAAAAGGGTATACCAGGGAATGAAACAAGATGAGAGCTACAACGGCAAAATACGTTTCAAAGCCTCCAAGAAAGAGACTTGGAACATAATGAGCGATGACCACTGAATAGTAAGTGACACCGATGATCGCGAGGACGAAAACAATCATGATCGAACCCAGAGCACGTAGTGCCGTGCAGAATTTGAACACGTTCCATGCCATCAAATTGAATTCTTGTTTTTTTTTTTTTGTAAAAGAAAGAGGAGAATTTGAGAAGGGGGAACGAAGAAAGGAATTCCGTCCCCCAGAATTTGGGTCAAATAATGAATTTGATGAAGCGGTTGGAATTTCCGATGCTGGATTTGAATTACAACTCCGAAACTTAACATATATAATCAAAATTTCTGATGAACTAGAAGCAAATGATTTTCATTCAACACGGTTTTCTCGGGAAGCCCAGAAAGAATTTTCTTGGGGATTGATGGGTCTTCGTCTCAGCTCCTTTACCGGGCCTTTGCCAGTCTTCTAAAATATCTAATTTATTTTTAATTCAGTCGATCAAAATAAAATAAAAAAAATTATATATTTAATCTATTAAAATATTAATAATTTTATTCAAAGATTAAACATAATTTTATTTTTCTAAAAAATATCAATTAAATCCTTATACTTATTTAAAATTAATCAAATCCTTCTTTAACATCATTATTTACACGTGAACTATTAAATTAGTTTATCATTATTCACATGTAAATTGTTACGTTAATATTATAAATAATTATATCAATATTATAATAATCAATAATGATTTTTATCAATTATATGATAATATAATATTGATAAAGTTAATAATTCTGTACTTGACGAATTAAGTAATTCAAGGACAAGTGACAATACACACACCATGATTTTTTATTTATAGTTTCTTAGTTTAAACAAAAGAAGACTTAAAACAGAGCACAGACATCAAAACCCTAACTAATAAAGACTAGAACTGATCTCTCTTTCCAAGCTACCCACAAAATCACTAGGCCAAGTTACTACTATCAATCTGAATCACTTTTTATCATACTAACGATAATGTCAACTGAAATCAGAATTGCTCGGAGTTGTCACAAGCGATCCGGAAGGTAGACCGAAGAGGCTGCTCGAGAGATTCGCTCCATCGACAACCTGCTATTCTGATTTAAGATCTTGATTAGGATAATAGTATGAGCCTCCGTTTTCAGCACCGCCCTTTTTAGATCCCTCTTTCAACTGAATTACACCGGCAAGGAATACGTTAGCCAACAAAAGAAACGAAAATCTTGAGCAGGAAGCCACGATATGCGTGGCTTGCACGTAAACCCCTCATCTTAGTAATTCTCGATGAAGCATATTATAAGCAAGAAACATCATTTCGAAACGAGAGTTTAAGCATTCAACATTGTCTTTTAATCAAGCTTTGCAAGTGACATCAACCGATGATATACAAGCATGAGTTCGAAATAATTCAGTTTAGACCATAGTGATCCGCTCACATTTTATGGCAGTGTAGAACATGCCAATGCAAGTGATAAAGAATATACCACGAAGGAAGTGAACAACTTTACCTTCTTTAGGACCTTCTTGTGAAATCGATAGCCCTAATGACACAAGAAAAAGATTTGTTAGACGAGAAAAATTATCAGCTGATTAAACGAGAAATCGTGCATTGTTCAATTACCTTGTCGGTGCCATAGATATAATCACAATAAGTGAAGACTGAAGCGAAGTTGCTCTGGCTTTGTCCTCCAACGTAGTGATGATAATCATGGTAATCTGCGCCACCATAAAACGGGATAAACCTCGTGGGAGTCCAAGGGAAGTCATATCTGCATTACACAACTAATACCGTAAACAGCCTACTTTTGCAGCAGAAACCACTTACTAGCTTCATCAAACTAAACACCGACAAACAAACTGCATTAAGCCTTAATACGAAGCTATATACATGTTGGACACATACTCGTATCCGACGCTCACACTCTAGTCTGAGTAACGTAGGCCATTTGATTAAGTCTATGAAACCAATGAATACTACAAATAGTATAAATTCAAAGACATTATACTTGGAAAGGTTTCATAATAAAAGTACAACTTACACACTGACAAAAGATGGAAAAAGGAAAATGCAAGTTGCCTTACTTCGAATATTGTCTCCATAATAGACCTCAGACCAATTTAAACCAGATAAGTAAATAGCCGGCGACATCCATGGTAGGCTGATATGCATGTGATTTCCTACTATATGCTTTGACAGTCATTCTTAACAAAAATCCAATGCTCATCGTCTCTATGAAGCTTGATTGGATGTCAAATGGGAGTAATTTGAGCTTTAATTATTGCCTAAAATAGCTTCCTAGCAGAAGCTCCTACAATGAACTCATATTTCAACAGTAATCACGGATACCTTCCGCAGCTCGTTAGCCCAAAATGCGAGTATATGACTGCTCTTCATCAGCAGGGTGGTTACGGACACACATAGTCAATTTCAAACCATAGAATTCATTTCTTTATCCTCATTTGAAACAAAGTTAAACAAATCAAAGGGAACATATCAAGAAACAGTTAGCCACTGTTTAAAGATCCTTATAAATCCAAGCAATTTAATATAGAAAGGAGGCTTCGAAAAGTAATGAAAAACATCCTAAAGTCAGCATCATTCATTCACAAGATTAAAGCAACAAAGGGCATTGTGCAATATGGAAAAGTAAAACAACATTCAAAAAGGTTAAGGTCCGGCATGCATACCCACTGTGTGTCTCAATAGCTTCGATTTGCCGGAAAGCTATCCATAACCAAAACGTTATCATATGCCCTGGAGCAATTGCCGGCCCGAGAAAAGATGGAATCCCGAGGATCAAAACTTCCAACCAGTGCGCATACGGTGCGGCAAAGCCGATTGGAGCGGTGTATTCATGGTGGACCCGGTGAATTTTCTCGTAGCCCCATTTACCATGGAGGAAACGGTGAATCCAGTAGTTGGTATAATCTTCTATCATGAAATATACAGTCAACTGTGCCACAATCTCCCATAGTGATGGCAATGGCAGCCCTGTTCGAATCCCGATCATCTGTTAAGAAAGGACTTGTATTAGTAGATAATAATAAACCCCATTGTTTAAGGTCGAAGATGTTGATTTGTGTAGATTGCAATAACAAGGTTAGAGATTCAAAATCATTCAAATTAAGTGTCTAAATAAACAGAACAATCTAAATGTTCAAATCTTCAAGAACTTTCACTAATGAAACTGAAAACAAAGGATATTAAGCAAATTTCCCAGAAAACTAATCAACAAAATATATATCATAATTACATCATCCACCTTGATGAAAATGAAAATCCCATTAAGTCCAGCATAAAATTGATGTCAAAAAGTTCAAGAAATCCCCATATTAACACAATTATATCCCATGAATTAACAAATTTCTCAATACCAATAAATCATATTCTCCATAAACTTAAGCTTTCACCCAAAAAATAAATAAAACTAAACGATCCAACTCATAAAAATCCAGGAAAATTAAATGAGTTCTACCTTAATTGAAGGATAAGACACTAACTGCAAAGGACCCACGACAAGAACAAACATCCGCATAACATCCTTATAACACTGGAACATCTCAGACAACGACAGGCTAACTTTGGGTTGAATCTTGTACTTGTCGAATCCCAGAGATCTCATCAGCTCGACGAGTACGAGAGGCAAAGGGACCAAGGAAAATATCAGGAACAGGAACAAGATATTGTGGCAGTAGAGAAAGTAATCCGATTTTTTAGCCGAGTAATTGAACCACAGCGTCTCGGCCACCGTCAGGTTCCGTCCCATGAATGTGGCAGCCTCCTCGACTGTATTGAACGGCAACATTTTTCAGTGGTGATGGCGAGTCTGTCGCTAAGTCAATAGGTGCGGCAATGTAAGAGGAATTTTAGCTTGCATGAATTGGTGAAACTCTTCTGAGACTCTGATTTACTTTGTTTTGTTGCATGGAGATTTGGAAATGGAGGGGAATAAATATACGATGATTCATTCGTACAATTTCCACTCCAACTTTTTTAGCATTTTATTTTTGTTTCTTTCATTTTAATCCTTATCAATATAAATATTAAAATTTCTGATGGGATTTGGCAAAACTTTCGAGATAATATTATGGAAAAAATTAATTCACGAGATAAAGTACTCCCAAGATTAATTGCTTAAATAAGGTGAAATCTACAGTGTTGGCCGTAGGTCGCCATGCCTTCCGGGTGACCTACTAGGTCGCCATGTCTTCCCGGCGAGCTACAAGAGATTGCATGTGCCATGCACGTCCCAACACGCTGGGCATCCGAGAGCATCCGAGGCCATCCGAACGAGCTATGCGAGGGCATCCGAGGGCAACCGAGCGAGCTATGCGAGGGAATCAGAGGGAAGTCGAGCGAGGGTAGGTCACCCGGAGTGCATGGCGACCTACAAGGTCGCCCGGAGGACATGGCGACCTATGTGTTGGGACGTGCATATGCCATGCAACACGTTCATTCTAACTGTTTGAGCAAGGGTAGGTCGCCCGGAGTGCATGGCGATCTACGACCAACACTGTGAATTTCACCATATTTGAGCAATTAATCTTGGGAGTGCATTAACTCGTGAATTAATTTATTTCAGAACATTATCTCGAAAGTTTTGCCGATGGGACTTACCATTACATCATTACATGAGTAAAGACATACTAGAACTCATAAAACAATCTTACTGGTAAAAAGAAATACTAATATCTCTAGTAATTTTAAATTCGAGTAATGATAAAATCAGCGAGATGTATATACGTTGTCAATAGAATAAGATAATAAATAGATTTGGTAGGATATTCACATAATTTATTTCGAGAAACATCTCTCGATTTAAATTTGACCCAAGTTTAAGGAGGTTTTATTTGACTTGTAACTCGTCCCGAATTTTAGAATAAAAATATATATTTGACTCGATCTGATCCAACTCAAACGTGTGTATATATATATTTGTATTTTTATTTATCAATAAATAGGCACATAATTATATAACTTTTTTTGGAAAAAGATGTACAATAAAAATTATCTCTAAATATATAAAAAATTATACTATTATCTTGAGATATTCAACCAATAAAAACATTAGAATTTAATAGAGTTATAAAATTATACTATTATATCTCTGATTCGACTCAAATGTGTGTGTATATATATATATATCTCAATTTATTTATCCAATATATTATTTTTAATGCATCAAATCTACAAATTCGTAATATAGCTAATTTTGTATAAATATATAATTTTAAACAAATAAAAAACATTAAAACATAATAAAATCCACTAAAAACATGTGATTTTTATTTTATTTTAAAATTTACTAACAAAAAAACCCAACTTTTAATATAATCTATAGTAAATTCGTAGTGCAATAGTAAATTATTTTCATTGAAATAAAAAAATTGATGATAATAAAATTTGAGTTTGAAGATAATTTTTCTTTATAATAAGAATATTTAGTTTCAATCTAATCTAATCTATAGGGTTACATTATTTGATAGATTTTAACGATAAAATCTGGAAAATAATCCAGACAGGCCGTAAAATAATTAGCTCACTAGTGCGGTCTAAAATTTATTTTGAAATCTACGACATTTATTATAGTGGAGGGCGAACTCGTCATGGAGAGTGACTGGTTCTAAAAAATAGTTTTTATTAAAACTCGTTACTTGGGGTTGGATTTTTTTGATTTAATTTTGTTGTAGATTGTTAATTACTTCATGTACTGCCTTATAAATCCAAATAATTATTTTGCATGGATTATTGACTTAATTTTTTCGATTTTAACTTGATCTAATTTTTTAGGGTTGGACTTTTTAAAAAATATGAGTTCAGATTGAGTCAAATTTTTGTGAAAAATCAGATCGGATTGAGTCAAATTTCAAATATAACGAAATCTTCCTAAATTTAAATCGAATCAAATTTCAAATTGGACCTAATATCATTATATTTATCATTTAATCGAATGGTAATTTGTAAAGTAACAATTATTTAGAAAGCACTAAAAACAAATGATGTATTTATAAATGATGAGTAGGGTAGGGGTTTTAACTCAGCTTTCACAATGGGAGACTATCATAAGTCATAGGAATAGGATGCCTCTAATAATTAAAAGTCCATTCAACAACCTAAAGCCAAAGATGAAACTATGAGTTTAATAAAATCTCAAATTTACACATTAATTTTAATTTAATATATAAATGTATGCATGCAATTTTAGTAATTTTAATGAAGACAATTTTATGAATAAAATGGTGCATGCAAATTTATTCAATCCATGTGATTTTAGTGAAATTTTATTGAATCCGTCAAATGACATCAGTGATTAAAGATTTGTTCTCCTTAGAAGTTCGAAGTTTAAGTAGCGGTTAAAAATTCACTCCTTTCAAGATGAATGTATGCAAATTATTTCAGGTGATTCGGGTTTTGTCATTTCTAAGTACAACAAAAGTTCGTAGTTTTTTTTTTATTAATATGTGGTAAGTGCAAGACAATATATGTTTATAACTTGAATAAGAAGAATTGACAAAATTCAAGTTAGACTAATGATATTAACTGATCATTTCTCTTAAAACCGTAAAATATAAGTAGAATAACTGTTGAAAAGTGAAAATAATAACGCCATCTAAATTATTTAAAAATATATAATTAAAAATTTTAAGAAATACAAATAAATACTACCGTCGATGATGAAAGATAAATGTCATTAACACCAATACAATAACATGACATGATAATATATTAATAAATAACACTATCATAACTCAAGTACGGCATATCAAGGGTGCGATCGAAACAACCTCGATGGTAAATGATTGTTGTTATTCCTTAAGGTATCGGGTTTGAATACTATAAATATTAGATGTATGACCGTTCAGTGTCAAGTGGTAGAGGATATCTTTGAACAAATATTACTTCATACTTATTTTAGATTAATAAAAAAAAATAGACATATGAAGAGATAAATGTCATACAACTAACTTGAAAGTCTAAAATAAAAATAAAATAATCAAATAAACGTTAACTAAAAATTAATATAAATTTAACTCTAATTTTTTTATTAAAAATATATATATATTAAAAATATATACTAAAAAAATATTTATCATTTTCACTCCCATGAGTGAATAATTTACCATTTTTTTTGTAATTGTCATTTTAGTGTCATACATATTGGACGTTACAAATTTCAATTTTAATCATAATATTTTTTCCAAAATTATATCATTAAACATTTCAAAATGTATATATAAATATAACATAAATCTTATATATTTAAAAAGACATGATTATTAAGTTTTTAAAAAGTATATGATAAAATTATAAACATATTCAAATTTATATATAATATAAAATAAATTACAACACAAGTCACCAATCTTTTTCCCCGTCTCATCATTCGTCCTTTCACGCTACTTCTTTTACCTTCAGTAACTGACCCTACCATTCCAATCATTATTTTGTTCAATGTTTGACCTTTCAATAGTTCAAATTTTTAAGAAAGAAAACTGACTTGGAAAATGCATAAATATTATGTAATATGTATTTATTAAGCTAAGACGATTAAAATTGGTAATATATACTCTAAATATTCTTAAATATTTGTCAATGAACATTTAAATATCAATTATCTTTTTAATCACTTAATTCGTAAGATAACAATAAGCCTATGATAACGGCTAAGATTATGTACCAATTTAAAACCTTTGCTTCCTACACATATCTCTATTTTTTTCGATGCTTCAATTTTTTTGAGCGATGAATTGCGATAGATGGTTTTAATGAATTAAAGAAGATGATATACGATATGGGGAGAGATATTGAGGGATGAAAGAGAGTTTAGTATCTTTTATTTAGTCATGCATGATGATTTATATATCGACTCTTAGTATATGTGTCAGGTTTAGGGTTATAATGTTTATTTGTAAGGTGTCAGGACAAATAGATATGATTGTCAAATAATATATTTGACTCGAACTCTAACAAATCATGTGAACTTGTCACTAATCGTGTCCAGAGATTATAATGGATTTCACAAACTTGTTGAAACTTCAGAGTGTTGACTAGCACCGAAAGGTGCCTAAATTAATGCACCGAAAGGTGCATGGCCCCTTTTGTTGAAAATATAAAAAATGGGATAATTCAATTTAGTCACTAAATTTTAGGGTATTTACAAATTAGTCCTTAGGTTTCAACTATAAATATCCTAGCTCATTTAGCTTCAAAATCATCCCAAAGCATTCTAGCTTTCTTTCAATACTAGAGAGATTTTAGAGAGTTTCTTGAGAGTTGTTTTCTCCTTTTTATCTAGAGAGAATTATCATTGTTTTCTCCTTGGTAGATCGAGAGAGGTTGTAATTCCTATTTTCTCATAGTGAAATTCTTCTACTGTTGCCCGTGGTTTTTACCCTAAATATTTTAGGGGTTTTACACGTAAATTTTGTGTCTCTTTTATCTTCATTTTTATTTTCTCAAATTATCAGTTGCAATTTTGCTCTATCCGATAGCCGTCTTCCGCAACAATTGGTATCCGAGCTAGATTAGAGTGTGTAATATCTGCTTATTGTCTTTGTGGTTGCCACCAAAAGGTGGATCCTCCAACATAAGAAAGTAAGAAGTTATTACCCATTCTTTGATGGTTCCAGAGAACTATTCACGATAGTGAAATAGTGGGAGCTATCCATAAAAGAAGCTATGGCAACGAAATTTGATATTGAAAAGTTCAATGGGAGAAATTTCTCATTGTGGAAATTAAAGATGAAGGCCATCCTGAGGAAAGACGGGTGTCTAGCGGCTATCAGTGAAAGGCCGATGGATTTTGCAGATGACAGCAAATGGATCGAAATGGACGGAAATGCTATGGCAAACTTTCATCTAGCATTAGCAGATGAAGTATTGTCAAGCATCGAGGAGAAAAAGACAGCTAAGGAGATATGGGATCATCTCACCAAACTGTACGAGGCCACATCGCTGCACA